GTCTAGCATTCATTTCCTCGATGTGAACTTATCAAGAAGGACCGATGGAACTCTGAAGAGATCGATTTATCGTAGGCTGTTATGGAATGGTCAACTGACAAATTTCTATAGCTGGGTACCTATTGGTCGTAAACGAAACCTGGTCCGGTCGCTTGCCACTCGTATTCGGCGCATTTGTAGCACTGATACTGTGGAAGATGAGTTATACACTTTGAGGAAAATCCTAATGGAAAATGGATTTCCACCACGTTTTATAGATAAGAATATACATTCAAAGCCTACAAAACGTGACTTATCAACCGCTCCCAAGAAAATACTTTACATGAGCTTAGAATTCAAAGGGGACTTAGCTTCCGATATCATGAAACGAAGGATATCACAGTCCCTGAAAAGAACATTCCCTGCTGCCTCCCTGAGAATAGCTTTTACTAGCCGACCATTATTGTTCAATAACCTGAAGGACAAGATCCCAATGTTGACCAACTCTATGTGCGTTTATCAATTCACCTGCTCTTGTGGAGCTAGGTATATCGGTCGTTCGACTCGAGTTTTGTCCAAGAGGGTGCAAGAACATTATCCTGCATGGCTACGAAAAGGTGGAAGTGGAGCAATAAGAAGCGCGATCATAGAACATCTGGTCGAAAATGATCACCCTATCTCTATAGCCTCCGCCTTTAAAGTCATCTACAAGGCAAAGAGCAATCTACCTAAATCCCTACGTACCCGACTCATCTGTATTGCTGAAGCTTTGGCTATCGAAACAGAAAAGCCAGATCTCTGTGTACAGAAAAAGTTCGTTCAACCCCTCCAACTTTCATGGTCTTAATCCCTCTATGCTAAAATATGGTAATCCCCAATCATATTTTAGCTCTACCAATTTTTCATTTTTCATTTTGTCTATTCAATTTGTATACTTTTCCTTATTAAGTCAATTGTTATTATTACTATTCTCACTTTGAACTGTCCCCGGTATTATTTCACTTGTTCCACTTGTCATTCTAAATCAATTCTTTTTTACAACGATAAATTCTATGCTATTAAATTTCACACAATATTACGTAACGTTTTTGTTTTATTCGATTTGCCTACTAATCCTATAATTGCACATCCTTTTTCAAGTTCTATCCCTCCTATGAATTATTCTATATATGACATTAATCTGCTTTGCCACTTGACATTTAACTACGATTATAATCACAAACATTTTAGTTTTAATTGAACTTCATATGATTATTATTATTATTATTTTGTGCATTCACACCTAAGATTCAATTCCCTCACCGGATATAACTTCTGATAAACCATATATATACGACTGTACAGCTTGATGATAAATTCGTTGAAAAGAGTCTCTTCGCTGAATCACTTGTTTTGATTTTCTAAATGTTACAATGGGAATTTTCCATGAGTTAAAAAATAGCAAAGATCCCTTGACAGTAAAGGAACTCAACGGGTTCCTGCGTTATTCTGTCAAACTTGCCGTGGTGAATGCAGAGATTTGTTTTCTTAATGAATGCATCAATAATCATGAGTATCCGAAATGGTATTGGAAAGTGCTCCGACGCAATCACATATATCCTAATGCAAAATCTCTCAAGAGACACGCATTGAATCACATTGATTCTATCAGTTCACGTATCCCTGAGCTAGAAAGGAATATATCACAAAGATCTTCTGCTCTATATGACTTATCGGTTGATGAACGTCAGACGTTTAATGATTATGTCAATGTGGTCACCAACAAACAAACTATGTCTTTTAATTCGAAGCTATCTAATAGCCTAAAACCTATCGAACGTCTTCGAAAATTTCCTGAGAATTCGAGAGATACGTGTTCAACCACTCCTCTATATCTTTATCGAAATTACAAATGGAAGCCTTGTCTATGGGCTCGAAGTTTTGCGATGTTAATCTCAATATCAACAAGCTACATACTCATGTCCAGTTTGAGAATTTACTCAGTCAAACCTATGATCTCACACCATCGTCAGACCAGGATTTCCAATGCTTCAAATCTACCATTACGGACTCCTGCAATCAATACCTTAATGCTAGATCAAAAATGCAAAGTCTTCTTACTAAACAGCACAAAGAAGAACTTAAGCTTTTGACGCATAACAGCGATATACTATTAACACGCCCTGACAAGGGTACAGGTGTTGTTATTATGGATCGAAAAGATTATATCGATAAAATGTCATGTCTACTTTCAGACAGCAGTAAATTCTCGAAACCGAACGAGAAAAACAAGACGGAATTAATTGAGAAACAACTTACTGATACTTTAAAGAGAATGAAGAACAATCATCTCATTCGTGAAGAATTATACGAAAAGATCAGACCAACAGGATCTCTAATACCAAGACTGTATGGTCTACCGAAAATACACAAAGCTGGAGTTCCACTTCGCCCTATCTTGGATATGTCTGGATCGCCCTATCATCCAGTAGCTGGGTGGTTAGCTGAAATCCTCGAACCAGTCAGGGGGCAACTATCTAATCATTCCCTTCGGGACACCTTCCAATTTGTTGAATGTATACAGGATATAAATGCGTCGAATAAACAAATGTTGTCTTTGGATGTAGAATCCTTATTTACGAACGTTCCACTGACAGAGACCATATGTTTTATATGCAAATATATTGAAGACAACAAATTGAACATAGGGATACCTACTACAGATCTTAAAGAACTACTTTTGAGATGTACATTGAATGTACAGTTTACTTTCAATGAAACAATCTACAGGCAGAAGGATGGTATTGCGATGGGTTCTCCCTTGGGTCCTCTCCTTGCAGACGTTTTTATGTCCAGTCTAGAAAATGGTTCCCTGAAGCCTATGATCCAAAGCTTTCAAATATATAAAAGGTATGTAGATGACACCTTTATTATTTGTAATATTGATTGTAACCTGAATAATATATTAAGTGTATTTAATGAGTGCCATCCTGCGATAAAATTCACACTCGAAATGGAGAACGAGTCTAGCATTCATTTCCTCGATGTGAACTTATCAAGAAGGACCGATGGAACTCTGAAGAGATCGATTTATCGTAGGCTGTTATGGAATGGTCAACTGACAAATTTCTATAGCTGGGTACCTATTGGTCGTAAACGAAACCTGGTCCGGTCGCTTGCCACTCGTATTCGGCGCATATGTAGCACTGATACTGTGGAAGATGAGTTATACACTTTGAGGAAAATCCTAATGGAAAATGGATTTCCACCACGTTTTATAGATAAGAATATACATTCAAAGCCTACAAAACGTGACTTATCAACCGCTCCCAAGAAAATACTTTACATGAGCTTAGAATTCAAAGGGGACTTAGCTTCCGATATCATGAAACGAAGGATATCACAGTCCCTGAAAAGAACATTCCCTGCTGCCTCCCTGAGAATAGCTTTTACTAGCCGACCATTATTGTTCAATAACCTGAAGGACAAGATCCCAATGTTGACCAACTCTATGTGCGTTTATCAATTCACCTGCTCTTGTGGAGCTAGGTATATCGGTCGTTCGACTCGAGTTTTGTCCAAGAGGGTGCAAGAACATTATCCTGCATGGCTACGAAAAGGTGGAAGTGGAGCAATAAGAAGCGCGATCATAGAACATCTGGTCGAAAATGATCACCCTATCTCTATAGCCTCCGCCTTTAAAGTCATCTACAAGGCAAAGAGCAATCTACCTAAATCCCTACGTACCCGACTCATCTGTATTGCTGAAGCTTTGGCTATCGAAACAGAAAAGCCAGATCTCTGTGTACAGAAAAAGTTCGTTCAACCCCTCCAACTTTCATGGTCTTAATCCCTCTATGCTAAAATATGGTAATCCCCAATCATATTTTAGCTCTACCAATTTTTCATTTTTCATTTTGTCTATTCAATTTGTATACTTTTCCTTATTAAGTCAATTGTTATTATTACTATTCTCACTTTGAACTGTCCCCGGTATTATTTCACTTGTTCCACTTGTCATTCTAAATCAATTCTTTTTTACAACGATAAATTCTATGCTATTAAATTTCACACAATATTACGTAACGTTTTTGTTTTATTCGATTTGCCTACTAATCCTATAATTGCACATCCTTTTTCAAGTTCTATCCCTCCTATGAATTATTCTATATATGACATTAATCTGCTTTGCCACTTGACATTTAACTACGATTATAATCACAAACATTTTAGTTTTAATTGAACTTCATATGATTATTATTATTATTATTTTGTGCATTCACACCTAAGATTCAATTCCCTCACCGGATATAACTTCTGATAAACCATATATATACGACTGTACAGCTTGATGATAAATTCGTTGAAAAGAGTCTCTTCGCTGAATCACTTGTTTTGAATTTCTAAAAGTTAAATATTTGACACATATATATAATTACACTCATTGTCTGAACCAGACCGTATAGTTATTGAATTGCACAGTTGTCCTCCAGGTTTCGCGGGAAAACTGACTTCGTTTCGTTTTCATCCCATGGTTGTAGTCATACGATAACCAACCAATATTGATGTAAGTACAACTTCCACAAGGGACTGAAAGCTGTTTTAGAAAAGTTAAAGTGCTAAGGTGAATCATTGAAGTGTAATAAATTAAGCAAGTACAATATATCATTAATAAATGCATTTATAAGGGAAATAGAATGGGAACCCAATTAATCCATAGGCTGACAACGTTCATTCGCGATGTATAATGATACCCGTATCGGTCTTACTATCATGATGTCCACTTTCGGCTTTAATACAATTATTTTCAAGCCAGTTGTTTTATTTCATGCCTTTTTGTGCATTTGGTGCACAACCGTACCCTACAGAGGATAGGAATAGAATAAGTCGAATCAAATTCATATAGAGCTATAAAATGTTAAGTTTAATGGGATATAATGAGGATCAAGTGAAGACGCTATTAGAAAATGAATGAGACAAGATATTGTGAAGTGGTATTTAAAGATCTGACAATGGATAGCAACTTAATTTATAAGATGCCCCATGAATCTGTGCAGAGCCCACGTGGTCACTTCTCAACAATAGGCTGAGTGAATGGTATATATTTACAGGTAGAAGCATGATCCGTCTAGGCGTTCATTATTATCTTTTTGAAGATAAAGATCTAAGCCCTCATAAAAATCAGAAATATCTCGAGCCTTCAAATTGCATATTGCTGTTCCTGCAGAATGGGGTGATTCACCTCAGTGACCACCACCATATCTACTGATCAGCTAGCGCCGCCCTCCCTCCTTGACATGACGATCCTGTGTTACGAGGAGCTTCAGCATCATGCTCACCTATGTCTATCGAGTTGTTGTGTGCTGTTTTCGGTGAAGAATTAGGAGTTGGAATACTGGATTTGCTATAGACTAAGGAACTTTTATTTTTAGTTAGGTTACAGAAGTGGGTAGGGTTCTTTATTTGACCTATATTTGTGCAGGTGTCAAGTGTGCCTAATGGATACGTGTGCACTAGACCGTTCCTGTTTTCATGCAAGGAGGGAGCCAGCTCTAGTGGTTTAGGAGTGTCAACATCCCTACCAGCTGTTTTTTCAACGCTGACAGGGACGCGGGGGATAAAAAATGATTGGATCCTTGTGATGACCATGGCTTATTATTCCACCTATTGTTTGATGCTAGTTGTGTCCTTGTGTGGGTTTCGTGTGTACTGCATTTTGGGTTAGTTCTCAGCAGACTTGTACCATATATCCGGTCGAAATTTGTTTGTGTGCCATACTCTGAAGACCCTGAGTTGTTGATAGCCGAGTTCTGACTATTACGACTTGTGCCGTTGAGGGTGACGTTGTTGTGACATTGGATATCAGTGTGTGCCACGGTGCGATTTAGCACGTTGTGAGTGCTAATACCATTGGCCGTGGGGAGTGTGGGCTTATTTAAGCTACCACTGTTTTTGTTGGTATGATTTAGGGGAATATTTTCCTTATCTTTACCAATGGAATTATAGCTAGGAGAGGACAAAGTCGAGTTTCGGGGGGTTTTAACTTTTTTCTGGGGTTATTTAGTGGCATTTTAGATTCTGCGGTGATGGGGGGTATGGTTTTATTATTTATTTAGTTACAGTCTAGCGGCCTTTCGGCTGGTGTTGCACTCTAATGGGATAGTTCTGTGTGTTTTGAGAGGGGTGATGCGGTGGGGTCTACTGTATCTTTCACAGGGTTGGGAATAATGGCTGCTTGCAATGTCCTATTACCTATTTCACAATTAGTCTTAGTGAGATAGTTGTATGCGCGCCTTTCTATGACTGTTTTGTCCACCCCGACCTTTATATGTTTGTAGTTTCTGGCTGGCGATAGGGTGTGTTGGGGGTGGATGAATTTTCTGGTCTCTGCCGGTGTTTCGAACTGAAAACGAATAGGACAACACTTTTCATGTTGACTCTTCTTCAGCCTATAGCACTTAGTCTTGGAGTCAGGCATTTTCGCCTCACTAAGTAAGATGCGCTGTACCTATTTTATTGCCTCATTGTCCGGAACGTTGTAGACAATAGCACTCAGTTATGCGTCGAGTCGTTTCGTTACTTCTGTATTAACAAAGTTAATGAGGTTGTCTACCTCAGTTACCGATTCTGTGTCAAGCTTGTTAAGGTTTACAGTTTTCATGAGGATAGTTAGAGGTTTCAGTTCACAGACCTGCGATCTGATATCGCTGATCTGATCTGATAATTTGGATATCTCGGTATCGGTTTCGACGTTTCCAGCATTTACTGACTTGCTGTTTTTTATTTCCCTTAACTCAGCCTTAAGTTCTCCTATAGCCAACTTTAGAAGTTCTATTTCTGAAGATAGTACTGAAAAAGAGGTTGATGGCTGGAGTTTCTCGATAAGTACATAAGGTGAAGGGAGGAGTTCTGTATGAGCAGAGGGTACTGAATTTTTAGGAGTAGTGCTAATACTAGCTATCAGTAGTTTTATCCTCAGTTTCAGCTCGACGCTTACGGCATACAAGTGAGTTATGTAACTCATTATAGCCGTTTGTTGGGGGTGTGTTGCTTGATGTAGCAATCAAGGACGTTAAATTAGACACCAGTTTTACAGGGGATTGGGTTCGTTGCTTTTTACTTTGATTAACCATAACTATCAGAAATGAGAGTTAGTGGTTACAAGTATGGAAGTAGTATAGTACTTGTGCAAGTACTACAACAAAATAAATTTTATGTAACGAATCACGTAAAAATGTAACGCAAACGTTGAACGTACCGCGATACAGCGATACATACCATCTGTCATATACAAAAATGGTAGCACGGAAATAGTAGTCTTGTTGCTTAGAATATTTACTCTGTCACTGGAGACTGGAACTTGTCCTGAAGTGGAGAAAGGCACATACATATTACCTAAGCACAAAGCAGGGGCCAAAACCAGTGCATGCAACTATAGACCTATTGATATAACACCGGTAATATCACGAATAATGGAGAAAGTGGTTAAAGACCAAGTGTCAGACAACTTACTAGAACATGAACTTATCAATCCATCACAACACGGATTCCTCAAAAAGAGATCATGTGTGACTTGTCACATAGACTTTTTCAATGAAGTTACACGAAGCAGAGACAACAGAGAACTAGTAATTGTTCTATGTTTCGATATAACAAAAGCCTTCGATAGAGTCCCCCATAATCTGCTAGTCAGCTGGTTATGCTCACTAGGGATATGTGACCCTATCCTGAGCTGGATAAAGTCATTTCTGTGTGGCCGAAGTCAGATAACGAAAGTTGGCTCGATAATCTCAAGGCATAAACCAGTAAGTAGTGGTGTAATCCAGGGAAGTGTATTAGGCCCACTCCTATTCATAATATATATAAACAGTATCTGTGAACGCTTTAGTGTTGGTAAACCAATACTATATGCAGATGACTTAAAAGTGACCCATAAATGCAAGAACACAGATCTCGGAATAACAGTAAACGCCATACAGCAAGAATTAGAAAAATTGATAGATGGTGTGACACCTGGCAACTCCAGTTTAATGTCGACAAATGTGGCTGGCTCTGCATAGGTTGCAACAATTTAGAACTTGACCTGACAATTCAAGGCCATGCACTCTTACGACTGGAATCTGTATTGGACCTAGGACTGAAATACTCACATGACTTATCATTTTCTGAACATATCTCGAAACAAGTGTCAAAGTCGCGCAGACTTATCGGCTTTCTACTCAGGAAGTTCTACAGAAATGAGTCCAGAATTCTGTTGTACAAGGTTTGTGTGCGTCCTTTATTTGATTGCTGTTCATTCATGTATAGTAGTATACGCATAGAGGACAAATTGAAAGTCGATGGAGTGCAGAGGTACTTCACCTCAAAATTACTCGGAACCGAAGATGGTGCGAACTACTTCACTAGATGTGATACCCTAGGACTAGAAACACTATGGCTAAGACGCCTGAGACTAAACTTAACACTTTACTATAAGCTTCTAAACCACTTAGTTTTTACCTCTACTAATGGCATTCGACTTTCAGATGACAATGGCTACAAACTAAGACACACTAAGGGTACAGTAGCTATCGAACAATGTAAAACAGCTACCAGGCAAAAGATTTACTTGATTAGGTATGCACAGATATGGAATAAACTACCAATGGAAATGTGTCAAGCAGATACATTGGCCTCCTTCAAAAAGTGCTTAATGACAAACTACACGAGTTTGCAAACGATAGTAGTCCTAGTTCCTGTCTGAGAGCCTCCGAAATTATAGGTCCATTTAATGTATAGGCTTAAATACTACACCTGTTGTTTTTGCCTATATTTATAATTTTAGATAAAACATTACCGATTAAGACACTTACCCTCAAAAAGACAAGAAGTTTCGTTTGTGAAACTTCTACCCAACACAATAAGTGGACATCACATATGCCTCACCAACTACAACCCAACTTTCCCTAGATAATGTGATGAACTTATATCCATAATGTTGCTGAGCAGTTAATATTCACAACTCCTGTCGGAACAGCTGAAATTCATAAACCTTCCTCACGAGAAGAAAATACCCACAAGCAGTAGAAATCCACTAACTAATGCGTCTAAAGCTTATGTATTTTACTCCCAACAATGACATTGCAGATCAAATGAGATGAACAAATCACTGATTTCAAAATAACACATCAATGAACTATGATTCAAGGACTCTGCACACAACAAAGTATTGTACGAAAATTGACTTCAAGCTTTATTTTTTCCCAGGCACTTATTACTCATCCACCAAAGACCTGGTTTTTTTGTTAATGCGAAGACAATACTTCTGTATTTCCTGATGTGTTGCACTCACTGACAATCTAGCAGATTTTTCCAACTGCGCACAGAAATGATTGTGCATAAGTGAAAAGGCTGTTTTATACTATTGGGATTAACATTTATCAAGTGTATGTATAATCTCCAGCGTACATGTAAAACATATTTTGCTATCGACTGTAAATTGTGACTGAATAATATGGTTCTATTTCTGTAACAATTTGATGATGCCTGTAAACTGGCGTCCCTCATATACTGTAATATGAGAATAAATTTATTTATCTCTCCTTTTCTTTTTTCCCTCTCGTCTTACATGACTTTTCTATTTCTAATGAGAGCAACTTCGTCAAATACCCTGGCGACCTGACCGTCTCACTTCCCGTCATGTTACAATGTGACCGCAGCAAACTTAACTTCTTCCTGTCTGTAGCCTAAGGTGTATGGTCTTACATTAAATCCCTCCAAATGTCAGGCAGTTAACCTTCCCCTCACTCATAATCGTGGACCGCAAGAACTATGTCGTTCACAAGATGCTTGTATCAAAGAGGGTACTTAAACAGTAACCAGGTCTGACATAAAATACCCTGGAGTAGTTCTATCCTCTGGTCTTTCTTGGTCATTCTATATCTTGTCGATTTCTAAGAAAACCTTCAGTCTAGCTTACCACGTTATGTAGTCAAGACAGTCAGGAATCATTCAACCCCTCTATTTACAATTTGTTAACTCTTGCATTGATCTTTACTGCTCCCCCTTATTCTTTCCTGAATTACTCAAAAACAACTATGTCGTATTGCGCATGGTATTAAGGTTGTCAGTAGGGCAAGTGGTGTACCACTTAGTCAACTCGTTAATGCGTTAGTTGAAAGACATCTAAACTCATGCGAGAAATGGTCTAAATCTATACTGTCTGACCCCCGGCATCCCCTCTATTCTCAGCTCTTCCCTTTAATTTCATCTGATGGAACCAGAAGTCAGTATAAAAGATTATATGATCGTTTTTGGAACTACTTAATTCCAAAAATTGTTGTCGTTTTCATTGGCAGCAGTTCACAGCCTGTTGAGTTTACACAAAAACAATGGCCATTTCTCACTTTACTGAGGAGACATTAACTAGGATTCTAGAAAAGTAATACGTCAGTATGTAAATTTTATGAATCTGTAGACTGCATTCCATTCACTTAATACTGAAACTAAACCATGAGGGAACTGATATTTCCAAGAAGTATATAGTACAAGGCTCATTTCTACAACTGTAGTCCTTATTTTAGTTCACTTTCATCATACGTGTATTAACCGAATTGTCTGTCACTCACTTACTCACTGACTTACCAGGGAACAGTCTCGTCAACTTAGTGTATGCTGATGGTATTGTCCACTTAGGCTGTGAGAAGTGACCATTGAAACTGGAAGATATGAAAAGACTACTGGCTTTTGATCGCAGTGTCTGTACCCTTTCTTCTGTGTTAAGGAATCTAATATGGTGAGTAATATTGGGGCTAAGCTTGGTGTTAAGTAGAAATGTGATTCCAGACGTTGTTAATGA